GACATATCAGTGGCTTTAAAGAAAGAAAGAAAGAAAGAAAGAAAGAAAGAGAGAAAGAAAGAAAGAAAGAAAGAAAGAATGGAACAGAGGAGTCGATAATGCTCTGTTGTGTTTAACGTCTGGTTCAGTGACGTGGAAAAACTTGTCAGTTTTTAATCTTTTCATTTGTAACCTCTCACTTCTTTAAATAATGACCTACGTTCATACTTATGGATATTATTGCGATATTATCTTAAAGTTGTTAAGCTCAAATAGTTCACGGTTTTCCTACGTAAATCTTCTGATGCATCACAATTCTTAAGTTAATGATTGGATAGCCACCTTGCAGCTATAAGATAACCGTGGAAATCCCCATATTGCATCGTTACGCAGTGAGTTTAAGAGGCCATTATTTAAAGAAGTGAGTACAAATGAAATATTAAAAATTGATGTTTTTTTTCCATTTCAACGAATCAAATGTTAAACACGGAGATTCCTTTCCTTACTGAAACCAAACAGCATGAAAGGGGGTAATGTAAGAAGCTAACTAAGGAACGAAGGTAGACGTGGAATTATATTATTTTATGAAATGTTTTCTAACATACAAAGTTATCGTCCAGACTCAACCATTATCGTCGAAAGACAGTTGTCTTTTATATCAGCCATACAATTAGATGTTAAAAGTCAGAATTGGATCAGATAGGCTTATAAACTCAATTATGCGAATAGACTCAGTCGGAAAATAGTAAAACAAAAACAAACGTCTTAGGGTTTGCAGGTCATGAATAGTTCCATGATTGGTGCCATGCCCTGCAACCGACGAGAATTAATTTCTTCAGTTGAGGAGAAAAATATTTGAATACTTTTTGTCACGAAATAAGTCGTTTTCATCATGAGATATTCATATTTTTATTTGCTTATTCATTCATTTGTTCATTGATCCATTTTCTTTTATATTGCGTGGCGGGATGGAGTTACTTAAAATGCAAATTTATTTAGTGAGTAAAAGGGGAAGAGAAATAAAAGGAATTGGAAGCAGACAAAAGGATTACATTGGAGAACGAGAAAGTCGGAATAAAAAAATGGACTAATAAATATTGTATTAGTAAGAAGGATAAATATATATATAATATATATATATATATATATATATATATATATATATATATATATCACTAACAAACATCAAATTAATTTCTTTGTAGACAGTTTAGACATTCAAATTTATATCAAACATTATAATCTTTATGGACCCCCAAAATAACACTTTCAAAGTAAAGCAATAACAGCGTCTTTTTCGAGCCTTTCTTTCCCCCAAAAATTAGTGACACTTTCTCTCATGACTTCCTTCTCTCTTTTTCTTTTTATGTCTTTTTTCTTCCTCTACCCCTTCTATATCAATATATAACTTCCGTTAAGTTAACCGTTCAAATGTGTCAATGTCTGTACCTCCTCAAGTAATGTTAAGTATGAAAGAATAGAAATATTAAATTACATCTAACTCACTCATGTTTCCCCTCGATTCCTCATTTCGTTAATTTAATACGGCCCGTCAAAAATGTGTAAATTTATTTTCATTTTTCGTTTCAAATTTTGGAAGTAAAGTCTGATGATCCGCAGTCCTTTAAAAGGTCTGTGGTGAAATAATTTGTTACATGGAACCTTAAAGTAGTCTGTTTTTATTTAAATTACTTGCTCTGGATTTACAGTGCTCTCTGGATTTTATCCCCCTTGGATCTACCCATACGGATTACCTAGTTTTTGATAAACTATATATATATATATATATATATATATATATATATTAAATTTTATCTAAATTGCTAAAGCTATACCACCCCTCTTCTTCCTCCAAAAACCCTATGTACATCTCTTATCACTTTACTTCCACCTTTTTTCTTTTTCCCTTTTTTCTCCTTTCCTTTTCCCATATCATTTCCGTTGAGTTGACGAATTAAATAGGACAATGTCTGATCCTTACCCGCTTCTTCCTCAATATTAAGTATTATAATAAAAAGAAATATAAAAATAAATTTTAAAACTTTCCCTTCCCTCTCTAAACTCGACCATGTCTCTTACACCATTACTCACCACCTTGCCAACTTATATAAGATTAATACTGCCCGTCAAAAGTGTAAATTTTAAATTCATTTTTCGTTTCACCTTTTGAAAGTGAAGTCGGAAGATCCAGAGAAAAATAAAATTCTCTGTTGAAATAAATTATTGAAAATAGAGCCTTAAAGTGGTCTGTTTTTCTTTAAATTAATATATATATCTCTGTGTGTGTGTGTGTGTGTGTGTGTGTGTGTGTGTGTGTGTGTGTGTGTGTGTGTGTGAGAGAGAGAGAGAGAGAGAATAATATATTATTATTTTTATATATCAGAGCAATATTAGGAAAATTATTCTTTATGCGCCCTGACCCCTGGGGACGTAGTAGATTATAGCTCTCCACGTCTTCTTGTCCCTTTTAGAACTAATAAATTTTGTTTTTTGTTATATCTACTAACCCTTGTTCCGCCATCCATTTACTCAAGCTCACTGAATATACTATGCGTTTGCCCTATGAATATCCCAAGACCTTTATCCTCATTATACACCCTAGAAATACCAACTGTCTCTTTCCGATGTAAATATAAGTTTCTTTTTTGCTTCCATTTTCTTTTCGTTTTTGCTCATATGTTCGGTCCATGATATTCTCAACATCTTTCTGTAGAACAACCGTCCTCGGTATGACGATAAACTTCATCTGCGTCCTGTGTAAGACGATAAAATACATCCGCGTCCTGTGTAAGGCGATAAACTATATCCGCGTTCTGGGTATGACGATAAACTACATCCGCGTCCTTTGTAAGACGATAAACTACATCCGCGTCCTGGGTAAGACTATGTCCAACAGCAAGGCCTCTGATCAGGAGGTTTTGAGTAGCGTGGAACCACCTCTTAATTGCTATGTTTCCAAGTTCACCCTGACCCTGGGTGGTAGCACCTGTTAGGTTCCCAGCTATGGGTAAATAGTTAACCCACAACGTGGGGTCAGAACACTATAAAAAAGTGTAAAAATGGGTCTTAATACCAGAAATACTTTGTAAAAAATTATTACCAGCAATGAATTTTTCGAAGAAATAATTATTACCAGCAGTACATTATTAACATCAATACATTTTTAGTAAAAAAAAATTACCAGCTATACATTTTTGGGAAAACATATACATATATATTACCAGCTATACATTTTTTGAAAAAATATTACCAGAAATAGATTTTTTGAAGGAAAAATATTACTAGCAATACATGTATGAAAAACAAATATTACCCACAATAAAAATTTTGTTTGGATTAAATAACCCATTGAGGTTGATATGCCCTAAAACTAACCAATTCAAATCCTGTAGAACAACATTTCTGTTGCCTCAAGTCACTTCTTCATGTGAGGAATTGTCCAGTATTCACTGTCATATAGAAAGACTGATATTACGTAACAGTTCAGTACTTTTTTCTTTGTTTCTAATGAAATTTTCCATTTTTTTTAATACTTTGCTTAGCTTCTATACTAATGTGCTTTCGGATTTTGGTGGACATTTTCTGTCATCCGTTAAAACATTACCCAGATATTTAAATGGTTGTAATTGATTGATTTTGATATCTACAATTTGTAATTTGCATATTGGTTTGTCTCTTTGCGAGCAACCATGCTTTCTTTCTTCTTGGAATTGATGTTTAGTCCTTAGCAATCTGATAAAAAAATAAAAGTCGTCTGCTTATAGTCGGTATAAAAGGGGTTTTATTCTGAAAATAAGCTGATAACTTTTTATCTTTATATAGAGGCAAGGAAAGTGACAGCATAACTCCCAGGCATATTATCTCATAGATTGATTTCTTTTAAGGCAATGCATATGTTCATTAACTTGCCCATAATCTTGCCGGAAAAGATTTTTCAGATAACAACAATAAGTGAAAAATACAACAAATAAGGAAATAAGTAAAATATTAATAATAAACCTGTGCATTACTCTGTTTACTTAGGATAATGCAACGTTGTGCAGAATAACGTGAACGCAGTCACTCTTGCGGAAATCTAATAACCTTTGCACTCATTGTATTAAAAAATGTGGCAAAATAGTTATACATCTGGTAATAAATATGGCTTCTATTTGGATGTATATGAATCATAACAAAAGTTTATTAAATCCTTTACGGTATAGATTAATATGATAACCAGTAAATATACCAAGACAAACTATTTCACACGCGACGATGTCTTAAATAGTAAAGCCAAATAAATTTTTAATTGTTTTTTCACCAAGAAAGACGATAAAGCCACTAAGACGCAAGGGTTTACTAAGTGTGAGGGAATATGAGATAAAGAAAATATTTTAATGAGAGAGAACAATAAAAGAACAGGAATTAAGAAGACAGAAGCTAATGCTTGACATTGCATTTAAATTTTTGAAGATCAACGTTGGCTGGAAAGCAAGAAGCTGGAAGAGAGTTTCACAAGCAAGAAGTGCGAGAAAGGAAACTGTTAACATATAATCTTCATCTAGCTATGTGTAGAATGATAAGACATTGCCACCAATTTAGTTCTGCGCTCATATTATTTAAAGTCTATATACCAAAGAGGAAAATTCGCCCGAACAATTACCATATACAGAGAGGAAAAATACACTAAGAAGCTACGTTTTGGCCGTGCAAAAGTGACTGAAATCGAAATCCCAGTTCAGGGGCAATAACATTAGAGATTCTTCTTTGTATTTTATCAAGAAGCTCTGAAGACATGACAGATGCAACAGATAAGATATGACAGAAGTATGGGACTAATGTTAAACTTATAAATGTCTACATATATTTTATTTATTCTATTTCTATATAAAATAAATACATAGGTCTAATACTAACACAAAGGGTCGCGTTTTCGTCCATAGAAACACTTTAACGAATAAAAATAAAACAAAGGGTAATAAAACACTGAACGCGAAAACAATACATTTTATGGCTGTTATTAAAGCATATAAATAACTTACCAATTTCCGGTCACGTTTCCAGCGTCACAATGTAGTCTTTCCGGCAACGGTTTCCAGGGCTTAGCAAGATCAACCATGTCGCTAGCATCCAACACACCATATCCGAACAGGTGATTAAACTGTAGACCGGCGCCATTAGTTGTCCAGTGGTGGTGAGCAGTAAGGTCAAATAACTGTCGTCTTTTGGAAGACAAGACAGTCAAATGCTGCATATCACGCCAAGTCAGATCATTGCTGAAAGAAAAGAAAGAAAAAAAGCATGAAGAAACTTCAAAAACAGAAATACGGGTGAAAAGCCAAAATATTTGTTGTTTTATCAATTTTACTCCAGTAAGGATTATTAATGTCTATTTCGAAATTTCTCGTTTTGGAAGTTTAAGAAAGCAAGGGAAATGTAAGTAATCAGGGGAAATGTAGGAAATCAGGTGAAATGTAAGAAAACGGTGGAAAAGTAAGAAATCAGGGGAAATGTAAGAAAACGAGAGAAAACTAAGAAATATGGGGAAATGTAGGAAATAAGGAGAAACGTAAGAAAACGGGGAAAATTTAAGAAAATAAGTGAAATGTAAAAAAATAAGGGAAATGTAAAAAAATAAGGGAAATGTAAGAAATCAGGGGAAATGTAAGAATCTAAGGAAATGTAAGAAAACGAGAGAAATGTTAGAAACTGGGGGAAATGTAATAAAACAAACGAAATTTTAGAAATCAGGGAAAATGTATGAAAACGAGAGAAATATAAGAAATCGTGGGAATGTTAGAAAATAGGGGAAAACAAGTGAAATCTATGGAATCAGGAGAAATGTAAGAAACCTGGAGAAATATAAGAAATGTAAGAAACCCGGAGAAATGTAAGAAACCCGGAGAAATGTAAGTAATCAGGTGAAATGTAAGAAAACAGTTATCCTGAGAGAAATATTCTTTGAATTCAGAATAGCTAAAAAAAACTCCATTATTTCACTAAAATTGGTTATTTAATTAATATATACTCACTGAAAAAAAAAAACAAATTAATATAAATTTATTGAAGATTAGAAATTATTAATTTACTCGAATCTGGCATTTAATAATATAATATTTTTAATTACATTATTATTAAAACAATTCTCATTAACCTATGCATCATATTTAGAAAGAACATAATTGTCATATTTTGAAATGTGCATCTTTGGCAATATGAATATGGACTAAAACAGCGTCTGAATGTATCAACATTAGGAATTAATTTTTGCATGCTCATACAATTCGCAAATCGTTGACCTGGGCTGACAGAAAATTGTTTTCGTGCAATTAGTGAGTAAACGATGAAAAACGCATTGTAAAGTACGTAGTGTGTTACATACAGATTATGATTTTTATGTTTTCAATGAAGTCGGGTCGAATATTCGAGTGGAGTACATTTCTGATATAATAATCGCGATACAAAAAAAAAAAGTAAACGCTTTGAAATCTATTTCAAGTTTCATCTACAAGTTCAGACCTTCGAACAAAGAATCCTGTTTGAAAATTAAGACGTCTTCTTTTTCATATTCGTAGATATTCTCAAAGGATTCTTGATTTTTTGTTTGAATAATAAAAATGATATGCCTAATTCCGAAGAAAACTAGTATGTTTTTTTTATTTAAGTTACTTTGAAATTACAGAATTTGATACGAAAGAAGTTTGTAAGATTCTATAAAACTCCATGACAATCCTAAATAATATATAATTGTATAGAGCAGGGGTACCTCAGTGTGGTGTAATGGTTAGCAATCTTCTCACACTAGAACAATTACGACTAAGTTCGATCCTCACTGGGTTCTCCATACTTCCGGCCTTGTGTCGCATCTAAGCAGTGCTTAGAAAATCACTATAATTGTACAGAGTAAACTGTAGGACTAAATTTCCCGTATAAGTAAGATTTATAAGCTTAGACTAGCTTAGTTTTGAGATTCTTATCTATCTGAATATTTTTAGATGAAGCATTGCTTATTATTATTATTCATTTTTATTAGTAATTCTTTCATCGTAAATTTGGTTACCTTACATCTGTCCTGCTGTATCGTAGCAAATGCTGGACAATCTCAAAGATGAAGAAGAAACTTGAAGCAACAGAAATGTGGTTCTACAGAAAGATGCTGAGGATACCATGAACCGAACATGTGTTCGAGGTTTTAAAGAGAATGAAAACAAAAAAGAAACTTATACTTGACATCAGGAAGAGGCAGTTTAAATTTCTGGGGCACGTAATGATGAAGGAGAGTTATTTACATTGTTCAGACTGTTGACCTCATCTTTATTGCCATATTCGCGACGTTTCGGCCGTTATATGCTCCGACCTTCTTCAGGATCTTTCTATATTTCTGAGATGAGATATTGTAGTTATTTATATTGTTTGGGCTGTTGTCTTCATATTTATTGCTATATTCCCCAATATGAATATGGCAATGTAAATAATGTAACTACAATACCTCATCTTAGAAATATAGACAAATATTAAGGAAGGATGGCTTGGAAAATCTGATACTCACAGGACGGATTGAGGGAAAGAGGACAGAGGAAAGCGGCGCGTAACATACTTGATGGGCTTGAGTAAACGGATGGCAGAATAACAACAAAAAAACTTATTAAGAGATACAAGGAAATAGGAAGATGTGGAGGGCTACAGCATAAAGAAGTCATAATATTAAGCTTTCTGTTATTCATTATTAGTTTATTCTAGTATTTCTTTCATCTTTACCTTGCTTTTACATCTATTACTCCTACTATTAGGTTGTTTGAATCTTTTAGATGAAGTATTGTCAACCATTATTATGACTCGCATTTTTTTCATCTTACTTATAATTACTTTTACAACTTGTACTCATAATATTGGTTTGTATTCCGTTGATGAAGTACTGTCAATAGTATTAAATTGTGACTAGTATTTGTTTTGGTTCTTGTCAAAAAATCTTTTAGTCAAAAATTAATAATAATGATATTGTTTCGACTAAGTAATTCGGACAACTCAAATTATTATATATTATTATATTATTATAGAAGTTGATAATAAAAACGAAAGAAATACTAGTCAAGAATGAGTAATACTGAAAACACTTAAAAAATCGAATAATTTAAAAGTATTATTATTATTATTATCATTTAGTGAAAGAACAGCACTCCAAAAAATAACGCTGAGGTACAATTTTACGTTTTTCCCAATACACTCACACCTACTCTGATACGAACATACCAGATACATGCGTTATAATCAGATGTGCACAATATAGTGACCGATTTTGATAAAAATAGCGCATTACTTGGGTTCAGGACGACACATTACCGTCAATTCAACGCCGCCGACTCAACCTTTAAAAAGCAAATTATGATACGATATGGACAATTGCGTCCCGGACAATTGCGTCCCGGACAATTGCGTACCAGACAAATGCGTCCCTGGATAATTGCGTCCATCTGATACATTTTTGACGTTACCATTTTTTTTTTTTTTAAAGAGTTGTTCAATATAGAAATTTGAACACCTTTAATCACTCTAAACAAGCAGAAAGATAGTTACCACAAATAAAAAAGAAAATATTCTATTTTAAAGCAAGAGAAAATTAAGCTAGCAGTTTCAGGTCACCCCAGTGTACCATAAATATATATTCTGAATTTTATAGATTATATTTTTATTTTGAGCCCATAGCTAGGTTCCGAAAATCAAACATTGGTGGAAAAATATTTGTGAACGAGAAAAATTACAGCTACCATAAGAAAAACGCCGATGAAACAAAAACATAATGGCGATGTGTAGAGCGATCTTTTGAAACTGTCAATCTGTCATTGCAATTTAAACTAAAATAAACTTTTTTTTTATTTTATTTTATTCCTTTTTTTAAAAAAATAGGATTACTTCCTATGCTTTTTTCAAAACTTATGGTAAATGCATTTAAAAGCTTAAAAAATTATCAGAGGTACGCAATTTTCCAGGGACGCATTAGACTAGGGACACAAATGTCCAGTACGTTACTGTCCTATAGCCATATGGATATACCAGGTACTTGCATCACAGACAGATGTGCACAATGTAAGGACATATTTTGATAAAACTAACTCATTACTTAGGTTCAGGACGAATCATCACCGGCCGACTCAACACCACCGGCTCAACTTTTAAAAACAAATAAAAGTATTTTATTTTTGGTGCGGCAACTCTAGCTATTTAAGACCTACATGATCTGGAGAGGGAGGACTTACGACTTTCCTTTCGCGTTTAATCCCTTTCCTCATAGCTGAAGCATCTGGCAATGATGCCAGTGTAACCTGAAATACATCTGCTAATACTTCACTTAATACTGCACTTGACCTTTCAACGGTGACTTTGGCACAACATTTCAAGGCTATGTGCATATTACCGACTTCTACATTGGCAACTGACAAATTGTGAGAATGTTTTACTTCCTTGATAACTGCTTCAAAATTCGTATGAATCCTTGCATTGCATCTTGAGCCTTGGTTACAACGACAAAATTTGATGTTGCTTGGTTACAACGACAAAATTTGATGTTTACTCAATTTATCAAATACAAATAAATGAACTTCGTGCGCAAATTTTCTTTTCCTCTTTGACTAGGAATTTCCATTTTCGGTGTGATGAGAAATTTGAAACTTAAACACCAGTCAGCCAAATAGTCTGTTGTAACTAATAAATCACTAAGACAAACAAGCAAACTTTTAAAATATCTACGACTCAAAGCCGGTCTAAGAGATGTTCACAATATGACAACCAACGCCGGTTGACCGACGTTGTGTCGGCGGTGATGAAATTTCTTCTCCACCATTACTTCGCAGATGTGTCCATTTAGGTATACGTTTAAGATGGCTAATACAGTCTGCTCAGACTGATTCCAATTAAGATGTAACTCCAAAGTCGCCTTGGCTGCCACATAATATAATCTTAAAAAGAACAACCGTCTTAGTAACGGGATATGATGATTTACAACTACTCCCGCTCATGGACAGAGTTACAGAATGTGTCAAGCCCAACGGTACAGGCCAAAATGGTTTTGATTAGTCGATCAACAAGTTAATCTATGGATCTGAACGGGATTTAGTGGAGCCTATTTTAATTCACCACAAAACATGTACATTTTATTAAGAACAGAAAAAAATAAGAACAAAAAATATGACAGTTATGCTTGGTATAGCATTTAAGGACCTGATTTTATTATTATTATTATTTTTATTTTCTTTGATTTCTGGCGTTTACACATTTCTTTCCGGGTCCCGCACAGGGACCTAAGGTTAGAAATGGCAGCATGGCACTTTCCACTGACAAAAAAAAAAGAAAAAAAAAAAAAGAAAAGAAATTACATAGATAAAGGCCTTCGTAAAGTGTGGGCTGTACTTGTCAGAACAATTTTTTGTATCTCCTTGAGGCATGGACTTCCAGGAATCCCTTCAATTAGTCTACTGCAATCTTTTCCTACCAGTCCTAGGGCTCCAACTACAACAGGGATTGTTGATGTTCCCATATGCCACATTTTCGAGATTTCTATTTCAAGGTCCTTGTATTTTGACAGATTTTTGAATATCTTCAAAGATACATTGCAGTCAGCAGGGACTGCCATATCAATAAGGAGGCACCATTTTTGTTTGTGGTCTTTAAAAACAATATCTGGCCGGTTAGCCTTGATTGTTCTGTCAGTGTGTATTGTGTAGTCCCATAGAATTGTAACAGGTCCTATCTCCGTAACCGGGTCTGGGTGGTGTTCATACCAGTTTCTTTCAGTTTCCTTCCCGTAGAAGTTGCAGATTTTCCAGTGCAGATATTGGCCCACTTATTATTATTATTATTATTATTATTATTATTATTTCCTTTGGTTCCTATTGTATACACATTTCCTTCTGGATCCCAACCAAAGAGATAAGGTCAGAAATGGCATCATGACATTTCCAACAGAACATTTGTGTAAAAGAATAAAAATAAAAAAATCTTCTTCTTCTTCTTCTTCTTATTATTATTATTATTATTATTATTATCAGATAATTAATGCAAACTATCTTAACTATCATGCAAGTTCCTTCTGACTCTACGTGTTCATCACTTTCCGGATTATTCTGTCCATTCCTAAACGACTTCCCTTCTGCAATAGTTCCATTGGCAATCAAAGTTAAGTATCTTTATTCCTGCATCCATTCTACAATCACCTTACCAAGGATACAAATGACAACTGGTATGACTGTGATCTTATCTTACAAAGCCTTACGAGTTTTCAAATTCCAATGGAGTATAGTTTAATACTTTCTTTTCCTCCCTTTTCCACTGTCTTTGTAGAAAAATTGACATGAAAGATTAATGATTAACTCTTCATTTTCTATTTTATCTTCCTCTAATATATCTGGTTTCATATAATTTTCTGATTTGTTTTTAATCATGATTATTATTATTATTATTATTATTATTATTATTATTATTATTATTATTATTATTATTATTATTTCCTTTGATTTATGGTGTGAACTCTTTTTTTCCGGGTCCCGACCAGAGATCTAAGGTCAGAAATGGCATCATGAAATTTTCCGCGGAGAAAAATATTACACATATTTTACATAGATAAAGCCCTTCGTAAGATATGGGCTGCACTCGTGAGATTATTATTATTATTATTATTATTATTATTATTATTATTTCCTTTGATTTTTGTTGTATACACATTTCCTGTCGGATCCCAACCAGAGACCTAAGGTCAATAATGGCTTCATGATATTTTCCGCTTATTATTTTCTTTTGTAAAAAAACCCCCAAAAACGTAAGATCACACACATTTTACATAGATAAGGATCTTTGTAATCTGTAAGCTGTACTTGTGAGTACAATTTATTTTTAATGAATCCAACGGAAATTTTTCCAGGCAATTCAAGGTCTCCATCTACAACTGAAATCATTGATGTCTTCATTATTATTGTTGTTGTTGTTATTATTATTATTATTATTATTATTATTACAATACTTTTCGAGTAGCAGGATTTAGGAAAAGAAAAAGAAAAGAAAAGGCACTTGCGTTTAACAACAGTTTGACAGTATGTCTGTCTTCTTCAGTTTATATTTAGAAATTCCATACAAGTATAAAATATATAAAAAAGTGTTTGTTCAAATTATAATTATTATTATTATAATTACAATTATTATTATTATTATTATTATTATTATTATTATTATTATTATTATTATTCGAAGTGATCCCACATAAATTCGAGGGCAAGTGATAAACTTTTGGCATGCAGATCGAGCGGTGTTGGATGAAATATAACAGCAAGGCATAAAAAATAAACATAAAACCAAAATTATGAACAACCTCACGTTTGTTCGACACATGCTCAACTGGAAACAAATATTACATCTTTACTCAAACATTACTTGTGTTGTAAATTGTATATATTCTAATCCAGTTTTTTTTAGGTTTACTCCTCATATTTATTATTATTATTATTTGCATATGTTTCTTGCTTTTTATCCTATAGAGTACATATCCAGACATATGATCCTGAGGCCCTATAAGGGAATTGGCATTTAACTGAAAGCACTTTTTTAGTATATGGGATGTTCCTATTAGGGCGATCTTCTGGGCAACTTGCATAATGATGTTACCTGAGACACTGTTAGTAAAATTGTTCATTCTTTTTCTCACCAGACCCAGAGCTCCGATTACTATTGGTACAGCCCCAGTCTTCATTTCCCACATCTTGTTAATCTCCAGGTCCTTGTATTTGGATAATTTCTCGATAATTATCATGGATTTTTTTTCTCAGATGGTAATGCTATGTCAGTAAGCATACACTTCCTAAATTTCTCGTCTTTTATAATATCAGGTCTGTTGGCTTTTATTTCCCCGTGAATTTGGATTGGCATATCCCAGAGGATATTTACATCGTTATTTTGGGTAAAAGTGTCTGGTTGGTGATTATATCATCTCTCAGTGGTTTCGATTTTGTGCTTCTTGCATATCTTCCAGTACACATATATTGCTACCTTGTTATGTCTGTGGATATATTTATTTTTTGCTATTTCCGGACATCCTGATATAATATGGTCGCCAGTTTCATCATATTTTCCTCAGATCCTGTATTTCGGGTTAGTTCATCCTTTGATTACGTAACAGTGATTAGATCTGGTTGCGAGGCTTTGGTTATGAGCTGCAATAATTAGACCTTCTGTCTCAGTTTTTAACCCGGTGCTCCTCAGTCATTGATGTGTTGTCTGTTGGTCCACATCTGCTTCTTTCGTTCTTTTTAGCTATTGGCCATGCAACGCCTTGTCCTCACAGTTTTTATTTTTTTTAATTTTTTTGTCATTTCATTTGGCCATGTTGTTTACTTTTTGTTTTACTCGTTTGGCGTAGACGACATTCGCTCCGGTTTTTGTTGATAGGATTTCAGGAATATTAAGCTGTTTCTTGAAGAGTGCAGCTTCTTTGTTGATGGAGTCGGCTTGATGTTTTACTATTTATAGGAGAGGGTCATTGGTTTTTTGTAAGGTATGCTTCCAATCCGAATGTTGTAGCTTTTAGAGTTAGTTCAAGTTGGATCATACCTCGGCCTCTTAAAACTCTTGGTACGCACAGCCTATCAACATCTGTTTTCGGGTGGTGCATCCTCATTTGGGTAAGCATTGTTATGGTCTTGCCATCCAGTCTTTTAACGTCATTCAACTTCCATTTAATAATATTACTACGAATAGAGCTAAGGTGTTGATAGCCTTCATTTTATTGGCCGCGTTAAGTTCGCTATATAGTATCAAACGCACTCTCCTATAATATTCTTTTCGGATCTTTTTCTTCATAATTGTAAGTTGTATTCTATCTTCTTCATTAATTCCTAAATATTTGTATGTACCATCTTGGTTTAGTTCTTTAATCTTGTTTTTAATATCAAGTTCTAAATCTGTAGTTTTCGTTAGTTTACCGCCTTTGAAAGGTGGCTTTGGCATATTTGTCGACTCCGAACTCCACCCTATTATCTTCGCTAAAGGTTTAGACAATGGTGAGTAGATTCATCTCCTGTTTATCATTCTTGGCACAAGTTTTAAGATCATCAATATAGAATAGGTGATTCAGTTTGCTATCCTGTGTTTTGTATCCTTAGCTAGTGTTGTTCAGCAGGCAGCTGAGTGGCGCTAATGCAAGCCAGAAGCGTAATGGTGACAATGAATCTCCTTGGAAGATCCCGCTTTTGATGTTGATTGGTCTCGATATTAATGACCCGTTTAATATGGTTTAGATTTAGTGCAGTCTTCCAGTTTTTCATGTTCTCCGTTATAAATTTGACTGTTGTGACGCATACTCTGTATATTTTAGGCTCTTCTTTATCCATGAGTGTGGAACACTGTCGAACGCCTTTCTGTAGTCGATCCATGCTATCAATAAGTTTCTATTCTTTGTTTTCACCTCTTCCAATATTGTTTTTATTGATAATTAGTTGGTCTTTGCATCCGTAACTTCCTCTTTTACAACCTTTCTGTTCTGCTGGGAATGAATTGTTTTTCTCAAGTTGTATATCCTCTTGGTTATGATAGTAGTGAGGATATTGTACATTGTTGGTAGGCAGGTGATGGGTTTATAGTTTTTCGGGTTCTGCGACTCTTCTGTTTTGGGGGAGTAGGTATGTTACTCCCCACATGGGTCATTTATTATTTTCTTATTTTTCTGTTGTATACATATTTCCTTCCGGGTCACAACCAGAGACCTAAGGTCAGAAATGGCTTCGTGATATTTTCCATTGATCATTTTTTGTTAAAAAAAACAAACATACTACTACTACTACTACTACTGCTACTACTACTATTACTACTACTACTGCTGTTACTACTATTATTACTATTACTACTACTACTACTATCAATATTATTATTATACTTCTAGATCTATATATAAATGAGTGCGTGTTTACATGAGTATATAACCCGTTCAGATAGTGCTATAATATAAATTCCAACGTATCAGTGGTTTAAAATAAATATGCAAATATGTGTGTGTCTGTGTGTAGGTATTTGTCTGATATATTCACGTGTTCAGTGTCTGTACAGGTATTAGTACAAAATGCTCATGTATATGTGCGTGAAAATTAAAGTGTATATATGCGCATGAATATTTCGTGAACAATGTTTGCACACGCATACATGCTAATGTTTGTGCAAAAATGAATATATGTATACGTAAGTTCCGTGTACTTACTTTGCCTCAAGAGCCAGTGCAAACACGCCTGCGGCTTCTGGTGCAGCGGCGGATGTTCCAGAATGAGTTGTGGTACATTTGTCGTAAAGGTCCGTGGTGGTCTATAACGACACGAAATGAAAGGTATTAATGAAGCTCATTTGTTTCCTGTCATACTTCCGGAAATGTCAAGCCAAGACGTCGATAACACCGGAAGAGAAACACAAAAAAAGATCAACAATGACAAAAATGAACTAAACATTCAATAATAGAAATAAAAAATAAACAGTGCGAAGCCTTTTTGCAAAATTTTCAAGAAGCAAACGAATATTTTATTTTTGTCTGACAACATCTCTTTCATTTTTCTGTTTTACTTTTAGTTATTTTTTTAAATTTTCTTTAGTTCAATATTTTCTTTGTTTTTTTATTTCATTATTTTTATTTTTAATTTTTTCTTTTTTATTTCATTACTTTTCTTTTATTTTTTTATTTCTTTATTTCATTATTTTCTTTTTATTTCATTTTTACTTTTCTTTTATTTATTTTTCTTTCATTACTTTTTTTATTTATTTTTTTTTTTTTTTATTTCATTATTTAACTTTTCTTTTATTTATTTTTCTTTCATTCTTTTTTATTTCATTATTTTCTTTCTTTTTATTTCATTATTTATTTATTTATTTTCTTTCATTACTTTCTTTATTGCATTATTTTCTTTCTTTTTATTTCATTATTTAACTTTTCTTTTATTTATTTTCTTTCATTACTTTCTTTATTGCATTATTTTCTTTCTTTTTATTTCATTATTTAACTTTTCTTTTATTTATTTTCTTTCATTACTTTTCTTTTTTATTTTTTATTTCATTATTTTCTTTTCTTTTATTTATTTTCTTTCATTACTTTTTTATTGCATTATTTTCTTTTTTTATTTCATTATTTTCTTTTCTTTTATTTATTTTCTTTTCATTACTTTCTTTAATTTTTTTTTCTTTTTATTTCATTATTTAACTTTTTTTTTTATTTATTTTCTTTTTTTTTTATTTTATTTTCTTATTTTCTCTTCTCCTTTAAGTTTCTTTAATTCTTTATTTTTTTTTTTTCTTTTATTTATTTTCCTTGTTTCAATCTTTCTCTCTCTTTATTTCTTTATTTAATTTATTTTATCTTCTTTTTTTCTTTTATTTGTTTTCCATGTGCGGAAATGAATAACACTCACTGGAAAGTCATGGATGTTGGGTTGCTGTGGAAACTAAATAAGATATGAACAAGAAGAAAATAAATAAAAATAAATAATGCCATGATCTCTTTTCAGAAATATGGTGATTAATAATAAGGGAATTATTTGCTTTTTAAGATACAGATGTGGCTTTGCCACCAGAGTATTTGGTATTTGATCTACATAATAATAATTTTCTATTTCAATGTTCTGTTGCGTATTACGAAGAAGATAGTTTCACATAAACGATACCAGAATACCCATCAGTTTATGGACACCGTTCGGAAAATATCACACAAGACATGGCGACGCATCATTTTGTACCACGAAAATGATGCTGTTCATACAGACCTTCTTGATGTGTGACAGCATCAATGAAAGTGAATAAACTGAATCCAGGACATGTGCTTTGTGTTACTGTGCTACATGTTCTTCTATTGCTCTCATTTCTTTTTTGTAGGAAATAGATGGGGGCGGGGGTGACAAGACTTTCGGATCCCCCTATATTGAAATATCCATTCATACGTATGCAAGCACTATTGTAGATCCATATGGAGATAGCAAAATTGTAGATCCATATGGAGATAGCAAAATTGTAGATCCATATGGAGACAGCAAAATTGTAGATCCATATGGAGATAGCAAAATTGTAGATCCATATGGAGACAGCAAAATTGTAGATCCATATGGAGATAGCAAAATGTTATACTTAATTTTTTGTTTTTGCTTAAAAAATTAAAATTGCAAGAATTTAAGCTTTTTCAAAATCTGACTTCTGATTACTGTTAATAACTTTGACACGCAAAGATAATGAATATTTGTATACATTCGTTCATTTAATGCAAGGCTCAAGTGTCACTCAAGGCAGAAGGTTACTGAATGAGGTTGATGTACGGGCCTACATGGAGGAAGTAAGAGAGTTATGAGATGTTGGGTAATGGTTGACCCTACACCCGAAGACGTTAAAATTGTAGTGATCAGAGTATCATCCTATCGGGAGGCTGTCCTACAAAGTGGCAATTCTGAAGAAGGAGCTGACCCAGCGGAATTTTCTCCTTATCAAAGGAATGCCAAAGGAATCAGAATAAGTTGACACCGTAAGTGGAATGGCTTGTCGAAGTTCTGAATGTTTGAACTGGTGGAACTAAGGAATGTGGCTAGTCTGAACATTTGCCATGGAAATAGCAATAGAGTAGCAGGAGGCTTGCTATATTTTATCTGTATGTTTGAGTTTGTAGTATGGAAAATATTTCCTTATCCACAAAGCCACATAATCGCTTTTAAACTCAAAACAGGACAGTGAGGACTGAGAAGCTTTGCTCCAGATACTTCAACAATAGTCCATTTTTAGTCTGATCTGACTTTTAAAAATATGATAATATATGTAGTCTTCCATTTCCGCAAATATCTGATGCCATACATGGAAACACGTAACCACTTAACCTCCTTTATGTATATGTTATGTTTGATATATTAGACACTTTATTAGACAATGCTATGAAAATAACTATTATTTTTATGACAAGTGTATCATGTATTATTATTATTATTATTTCAATTTCTTCTATGGTCACACTATCTACCAACTCTGTGAGAAGACCTAAGGCAGGTATTGGTGTGTTGTTATAGCTACATTTTATGATTTGTTTTTCCAACTTCCATAGCATCAGTAGCTTTACATGGACGAAGTTCTTCTTAAAGTGTGGGCTATACTTTTCAAGACAAATTTTTGTATTTCTTATTAGTTGGGATTTCCAGGTATTTTTTCATAATAATTTCATTATTTTTATTATTATTATTATTATTATTATTATTATTTTCTTTGATTTCTGGCGTTTACACATTTCTTTCCGGGTCCCGCCCAGGGACCTAAGGTTAGAAATGGCATCATGACACTTTCCACTGACAAAAAAAAAAAAAAAAATTACATAGATAAAGCCCTTCGTAAGGTGTGGGCTGTACTTGTCAGAACAATTTTCTGTATCTCCTTGAGGCATGGACTTCCAGGAATCCCTTCAATTAGTCTACTGCAATCTTTTCCAACCAGTCCTAGGGCTCCAACTACAACAGGGATTGTTGATGTTCCCATATGCCACATTTTCGAGATTTCTATTTCAAGGTCCTTGTACTTTGACAACTTTTTGAATATCTTCAAAGATACATTGCAGTCGGCAGGGACTGCCATATCAATAAGGAGGCACCGTTTATTATTATTATTATTATTATTATTATTATTATCATATTTCAGTTTCTACTATGGTCACACTACTTACCAAGTCTGCAAGAAGACCAAAGCCAGGAATTATTGTGTTGTTATAGCTACATTTTATGATTTGTTTTCCAAATCCCATAACATCACTAGCTTTACATGGATAAAGTTCTTCGTAGAGTGTGGGCTATACTTTTCAAGACAAATTTTTGTATTTCTCTTTAGCTGGGATTTCCAGGGATTTTTTCAGTGTTATTATTATTATTATTTTAATTTCTGCTATGGTTACACTACCTACCAACTCTGTGAGAAGACCTAAGGCAGGTACTGGTGTGTTGTTATGGCTACAGTTCATGATTTGTTTTTCTAACTTCCATAACATAACTAGCGTTACATGGACAAAGTTCTTAGTATGTGGGCTGTACTTATCAAAACAATTTTTTTTATATTTCTCTCAAGCTGGGACTTCCAGGGATTTATTCAATGTGTTGTTGTTTTCCTTTTTTTATCATTCCAAGCGCACCTACTATGACTGATACTATTCTTGTTTTCAATTTCCACAGTTTTTTTTCTATGTTTTTGTCATAGAACCTGCATTTTGGATCCACACTATTGTGTATGATATTTGCATGAAAGTTTCTAGTGAAAAGACTCTGATTTTGCGCTGTAAGTTTATTATTATTATTATTATTATTATTATTATTATTAATAATAATAATAATAGTTAAGAGAAGAGCAATATTTAAGAAAAGATAAAGAAGAGAAAAAACACGGTGTTTGACAATGTTAAACAATATTTCAACAGAATGTCTTGTCTTGTATTTAGAAAAAAATTTTCACGTATAAAAAAATATAAATCTACAAAAAGTTATAAGTCTTTTTACAAACATTGCTTGTCTTGTAATGAAAAGATGGCTGTACAATTAATGAATGCGTGAAAACAAATGAAACGCCGCCAGCGTGAAAATATGTAACTGAAACATGCCGAATATGATGGCGATCTTGTTCATCTTGAAATTTTCCGTTAGTTGATTAGTTACTAAGAGGAATTAATCAAAGAGCTTAGTATAAAACTTGTGAAACTCTCCTATCATTCTGTTCATTTCCCCGGACCGAAGACTTAGCAATTTGCTAACGTGACCATCCTCATCCGTTTTAAGGCCCGACAAGTTAGTAGATTCTGAATATTTTTTTAGATTGTACCCCTTAAGATGTTTGTCGAAAATACAGACGTTTGTAATAAAATCTTCTACAAACTCCGTTGATGTCACATTAGTGTGTCTGACATCATACCTGTGTCCACTGAATATTTTATTTAATTTTTCCGTTGTGCATCTCACATTGAATCAAATCATGTTTCGTATATTGGGTGGCGTATATTAAATGGGAATAAGTACAATTATTACCTTCTGTAAAAACAATTAATGTTTCTCTTTGAATTTGTGATAGAATTAACTTGATTCATGTTGCTGCACAACACCCATGGTTTTCACCCTTCTATAGTATTTTCAGGAGTATAACGATCCGAAATTCCAATGTTGTTTTGTGTGTGGGCGCTTATGTTTGTTAAAATTTGTCTGATGTTTTTATTTCTTTTGAACGAAAATATAGGCGGGTTGGGAAAAAGCTCTTTAAAACGCAGATATTTTTGCGCAATGTGCTCGTAGCTGTCGTATAGTATTTTCGAAATTCCAGAAAAA